GCTGGTGCGACCACTCAGAAGGTTAGCAGTCCTCATCCTGCCCTTTACCAGGAACTCAAGAAATTAAGGGACGAGATTTGTTCGAAACATGAATTGCCTATTTACATGGTGGCGGGTAGTGCCACCCTTGATGAGCTTGCGCGCTATTTGCCCCAAAACCTTTTAGAGTTGAGAAAGATCACCGGTTTTGGTACTGCTAAGGTTAACAAATACGGTCAATCCTTTCTTGACATCATCATTCAGTATTGTGAATCTCGCGACCTGGATTCCAGGATTGAAGAACGACTGACGAGTAAACAGATTGGAAACGGAAGATCACCCGGCGCAGCCAAACCCAAAGGCGCCAGCCAGCAGGAATCCCTCAGGTTGTACCAACAGGGGTTAAGCATCGCAGACATTGCGGCTAACAGGAAAATGGCCGTGTCAACCATTGAAGGACACCTGGCTTATTTTGTTGCAGAAGGTACTCTCAATATTGACGGGTTTGTAAGCAAGGAGAAGATAGCGCTTATAGAACCTCTCATAGGTCCGAATGGGAAGGGCTCCCTCAATTCCATTAGGGAAAAACTCGATAACCAGGTAACCTTTTCAGACATCAGGTGGGTAATTGCACGAAGCAGATTTTTGGCTGGACCAGATCGCGAAAGTAATTGAGATAATTATAAAGCACCTCGATCGTATTTGCTGTAAGTGTGTGCGAACCTCAAAGTAGCGTGACTAACGAATGCTTAACAACATTTGCCGTGCCGATGATATTTGAAGCAATCCTCATTCGATATTAAAGAAAGCAATACCCAGGCATCCGTTTCTCAACCCTTGAGTTACCATTACTGGTAAGGAAGAATAACGGTCACTGAACCCTTGACCTTTTGAATCTTTGATGTTTGAAACCATCTTGGGTGTGATTCGAAAGAAAGAATGAAGGAGAACTTTATTCTGTGTAATTGTACCACCAATCTCGCCGGTTGCCATTCGCTTGAGAGACGCCCCGGTGATCTTGTTTTCGGTTACCTATCCTTTGG